TGGTGACCCCTTGGTAAACTATTCTTGTTTTCATATCTTACTCCGACCACTGTCTCCCTTCACCCGTGTTTCTGTTGTTCATGCCCTGGTGTGTGTGTGGGTGTGGGGGGGGGGATTATGCATCTATCATTGTGACCGGCCCCCCTTCCTCCCCCAGGTCTTCTCTCATGTGTCAGTTTAGTGAATCAATCACCTTCCACCCATTTCCCAACCTAGACACTTAGCACTTACTTGTGACTCCTTCCTGATTTTCAGTCTTGTGTCCATACATAATTGAGTCCCTAAATCTTTCAATCCCAGTTCCCTGGGATTTACCCCAGGGACTGCAACAGTGGACTCGGGCAAAAGACCACGATTGAGGATGGAGCAGAATCGGGTGTCTTGTTCTGTCGGACATAGGGTCGTACTTAGATACATAGCGTTGGAGCTGATTTGATCGCACCTAAGAGCACCAAGAAGACTGAACCATTCTATATGCTAGCCCCATCCGAATTGCTTGTTACAGTTACCCTTTCCCCCTCATACAGTTTTACAGTTAAATATATTCCATGTTCAACACAAACCCTCAAGCTACAGCTTCTGTAATTGTCAATTGGTAGTTTGAAAACTCAATCAAACTTACTGCCGTTGAGTAGATTCGAACTCATACAGACCCAGTAGAATAGAGTGGAATTGCTCCTGTGAGTTTCTGAGACTCTAAATCTTCACGGGAGTAGAAAGCCTCATCGTTCTCCTACGGAGCAGCTGGAGATTTTGAACTGCTGACTTGGCTTGCAGTTGGCAGCAAGGGTTGCTATGAGATGGGATGGACTCACTGGCAGTGAGTTTGGACTTTTGGAGTTCATGACATTAGGCGTATCTGTTATGAAAATCTCTTTAAATTGTTGAAAAGCAACAATATCACTTTGAGAACTAAGGTGCACCTGACCCAAGCCATGGCATTTTCGGTCGCCTCATATGCACGTGAAGGCAGGGCAATGAATCAGGAAGACCCAAGAGGAATGAAAGCCTTTGAAGGGTGGTGCTGGTGAAGAATACTGAAAGTACCACGGATGCCAGAAGAATCAGCAAGGCTGTCCTGGAAGATGTACGACCAGGACGCTCCTTGGAAGTGAGGCTGGTGAGACTTTGTTAGCACGCGATCAGGAGGGACCAGTCCCTAGAGAAGGAGTGAAAAAGAGGAGCCCTTCCCTGAGATGCATTGACGTAGGTCTGCAATGATAGGCTCCGAGAGAGGAGTGATTGTGAGGATGAAGCAGGACACAGGGTTGTTCTATTGTGCACAGGGCTGTTGAGTCAGGGCCAGGTGCAATAACAGCAAGGTGTGATGCCTGGTAGGGCCAGGCTCTCAGTATCAGTGTTTCCAGAAATTTCTAGCTTTTTAAACTTTTATCACTTGCGCTTTAAAATAAGCTTGCTTAAGTCAAATATTTTTTAATAGTATTGTCACTTGAAATAAGCATATTGAAAATGGTCATACTCAGGATGGTTAGTCTTCTTAGACAAGAATTCGAGGGGGTACCCCTCCACAAAATTGAACTTTTATTCAAAGCTATGTATTTATTTTATTATTATTATTATTACTTTTACGAAACAACCTTATCACCTTCAAAGTACTCCCCATGACACTTAAAACATTTGGCAAATCTGCGACTCTATTTTTGGAGACCTTTTTCAAACTCATGTTTGGATGGCTGACAGCACCTCCCTTGATTTTTCCTTCACCTCTTCTACTTCATCAAATCGCTGTCCTTTCATGCCCCTCTTCACTCGTGGAAACAAAAAGAAGCCACAGGGAGAAAGGTCAGATGAGTAAAGGTGAGTGGGACAAGAGAGGCATACCATTTTTGGTCAAAATTTTGCACACTAAGATGGCTGTGTGAGCAGGTGCACTGTCATGGTGGCAAAACCAGTCGCCCATCTGCTGCAAATCCGGCCTTTTTGTTGCACAGTTACACAACTTTTGCAGAACCTCTAAATAGAAAGCTTGAGTAACAGTCTGAGCCAATGGAATGAACTCCAAATGCACTAGCCCCGTCACGTCACATCGGGTTTTTGGGGTACCCCCTCATATTTCCATTTCCTCAACTCTTATATTCCTGGCATTTGAATTTTTCTTCTTCTTTTGAGCAGTTTCTATTTCTGAATTCACATTCTGTTTAATTTTCACCTCTTTTGGAGGACTGTTGTTAAGTACCATATTTTACTCCATTACAACTTTTTAAAAAATCATTTTATTAGGGGCTCTTACAGCTCTTATCACAATTTATACATACATCCATTGTGTCAAGCACATTTGTATATATGTTGCCATCATCATTTTCAAAACATTTTCTTTCTACTTGAGCCCTTGGTATCAGCTCATCTACCCCCGACCGCCCATGAACCCTTGCTAATTTATAAATTATTCTTATTTTTCGGGTAGCAAGCAAGATGGCGGCCGAGACGGTGGAGCTTCACAAGCTGAAGCTTGCTGAACTAAAGCAGGAATGTCTTGCACGTGGCTTGGAGACCAAGGGAATAAAACAAGATCTCATCAACAGGCTCCAGGCATATCTGGAAGAGCATGCTGAAGAGGAGGCAAATGAAGAAGATGTACTGGGAGATGAAACGGAGGAAGAAGAGCCTAAACCCATAGAGCTGCCTGTCAAAGAGGAAGAACCCCCTGAGAAAACTGTTGACGTGGCAGCAGAGAAGAAAGTGGTAAAAATCACCTCTGAAGTACCACAGACTGAGAGAATGCAGAAACGAGCTGAACGATTCAATGTACCTGTGAGCTTGGAAAGTAAGAAAGCTGCCCGAGCAGCTAGGTTTGGCATTTCTTCAGTTCCAACAAAAGGCCTGTCATCTGACACCAAGCCTATGATAAATATGGATAAGCTGAAGGAAAGAGCTCAAAGATTTGGTTTGAATGTCTCATCAATCTCCAGAAAGTCTGAAGATGATGAGAAACTGAAAAAGCGGAAGGAGCGGTTTGGGATTGTCACAAGTTCAGCTGGGACTGGAACCACAGAGGATACAGAGGCAAAGAAGAGGAAAAGAGCAGAGCGCTTTGGGATTGCCTGATGAAAAGCTCTGGATGCTTTCTGTTCTCCAATGGTTTCCATTGCTCTGATTCTTCATGGTCATGTATATACTTAAATCTACAGCCATGTGCCTA